TGAGGGCTTCGGTGGAGCTCCCTATGGGGCCACGAAGCGCTCTACTGAGTGAGTGAAAATGCCAAATGGGGCTTCGGGGACGCATGCGGACGGTCCCACTGGGGGCTTCGGTGGGGCCCCCTATGGGGCCACGAAGCGCTGCACTGCGCGGGTGAAAGTGCCAAACTACATGTCCCGAACGCATACGGACGGTGGCACTGCGGCCTTGGGTGGAGCCCCCTATGGGGCCACGAAGCGCAGCACTTGGTGAGTGAAAATGCCAAATGAGGCTTCCAGGACGCGTGCGGACGACGGCACTGGGGCCTTCGGTGGAGCTCCCTATGTGGCCACGAAGCTCTGTACTGGGTGTGCGGAGCGCATGCGGACGGTAGCGCTGGGACCTTCGGTGGGGCTCCCTATGGGGCCACGAAGCTCTGCACTGGGTGTGCGGGACGCATGTGGACGGTAGCACTGGGACCTTCGGTGGGGCTCCCTATGGGGCCACGAAGCGGTGTAATGGGTGGGTGAAACGCAGGGAGGAGGGGGAGGAGGGCCACGAAACGCTGTACTGGGTGTGCGGGACGCATGCGGACGGTGGCATGGGGACCTTCGGTTGAGCTCCCTATGGGGCCACGAAACGCAGTACTGAGCGTGCGGGGCGCATGCGGACGGTAGCACTGGGACCTTCGGTGGGGCTCACTATGGGGCCACGAAACACTGTACTGGGTGTGCGGGACGCATGCGGACGGTAGCACTGGGACCTTCGGTGGGGCTCCCTATGGGGCCACGAAACGCTGTACTGGGTGGGTGAAACGCAGGAAAGAGCGGGAGGAGGGCCACGAAACGCTGTACTGGGTGTGCGGGACGCATGCGGACGGTCCCACTGGGAGCTCCAGTGGAGCTCCCCATGGGGCCACGAAGCGGTGTGCTGGGTGGGTGAGGCGCAGGGAGGAGGGGGAGGGCCACGAAACGCTGTACTGGGTGTGCGGGACGCATGCGGACGGTGGAGGAGGGGGAAGAGGAGGAGGGAAGGGGAACGCGGGGACCGTCTCTTCAAAACGAGGACCCAACACCACAGGATGGTCGGGAAAAAGGAACTTTCCAAAACATGAAGATCGTCCCCTGACTTTTGTTTTGTTATGTTGAAGATTTCTCCTGTAGACACACAGGCCCGACTTAATCCTGGCACGAGAACGGCGCGCGCATGCACCGTGCGATGCCCCGACTCCCTTCCGGCTCCCGCCCCCAGCGCGGTGCGGTGCGCTGAACATTTTTTTTGTTCTCGGCTCCGCGGGCAGCGAAGCTGCGCACCGTAATTCACCGCTCCTGGGCCGAGGACCGAGACGACGCCCCCGTGGAGACGCCACGGCGTAGCACTGTGCGCCCAGGCCGCCCGCGACCCTCGGAAGCAGCTCTTAAGGGGGGACTCCTGCGCCAGCTTTGGTGGGCTTGTGTTTCCCACCGCCACCACCAGAAGTAAGAGGGGGAAGGGGTCCGCCTCCTCCTCCTCCTCCTCCTCCTCCTCCTCCTCCTCCTCCTCCTGCTCCTCCTCCTCCTCCTCCTCCTCCTCCTCCTCCTCCTCCTCCTCCTCCTCCTCCTCTCCTTCCTTCCACACTGCGCCTGGGCGGGCGCATTGACGTTGAGACCTCCTCATACGGACGTCCTGTCCTGCCCTGTCCTCCTCCTCATCCTCCACCTCCTTCCCCCCTTCCAACGTTTGGTGGTGGTGGTGGAAAAAAAACAGGCCCAGCAAGATTGGCCCATCTTGAGCCCAGGATCCAGCCGGGCCAGGCCGGATGTTGGCCAAGACTCGGCCGTGCGGAAGTAGATTTACGACCAAAGAGTCGAACCTACCACATTTCCCGTAAGTAGAGGAAGGCAAGGGAGAAGGTCGCGAGCCCTTTACCCACGCGCCGCGGAAGGAGCGGCGCGGCACCTAGTGCCAATACCTGAGCCGAGATGTCGGCGGTGGATGAGGATATAATGGTGCTGTGAGCGGACTTCACACACAGGCCGAAATCCCGCCGAGATCCTGCCAAGCCCGGCCGGCCCTCGGCCACGGAGGTGCCAGCGCCGATGCCGAAGCGAAAACCTCCCGGGAGAGGTGCGTCCCAAACGGGGCCCACCCGTGCAACTATGTCTGGTGGGCCGCGGCGGCGGAGGAGCGGCCACGGCACGCGCCGTCGGCGCGGGCGTAGAAGCAGGACGGCGCGACGACGGCCGTGCAAGCAGGCAGACAGGCAGACAGAGCCCGCGTCGAGGCACCTACGAGGGTGCAGCGGGAAGGCGCCGCGGCGCTGGCATGGGCTGACCGCTCAGAAGCTGGAAAAAGGCACTGGGTGAATGCGACGACTGCGGCAGTATAACCAGCCCTCCTCGCTTGGGCGGTTTAGGAAGAGAACCGTGTCCATCCACTCCGGCGAGGGAAGTGCTTCGTCCACTTCGCCGAAGTGGCACTTCGTCCACTTCGGCGAGGGAAGTACTTTAGTAAACGCACCCAAAGAAGGAATCAAACAGGGCAAGGCTGTTTAGTAAACGCCCAGGGCCGTTTATTAGACGCCAATTGTCCGGTCTGAGTGGTTTTTCCTCCCTTGATAACTAGCAAACACCCCTCTTCCACTCGGCCGGCCACCGGCCAGGAACAATGAGACCCCCCGAGCCATACCTGTCAACAAACTACTGAGAAGCACGCTGCGGCAAAACCTAGGTCGCGATCGAGCACCCCGCGAGTGCTTTGCATTCGTTTTTGACCTGGATGGCGGGTGTGTGATCATGTTTGCCCGCTGTGCGCTGAAACCCTACCCCTATCAAAAAGCATTGCACGCTGCAGACTCCGCATACCATGCTGCCCACCCCGCCACCTCTTGGGGCGACTCTTGTTTGACAGGGACGGCGGGCGTGTCGATGTACTGCCCGAGGGGTGCTGTCACGTGCACTGGCGCACCTGGCGCACCTGACGCACCCCTCGCGCGTCGCACACCTGGCTCACCTGCCGTAGCTGGAGCATGTGGCACACTTGGCGCGCGTGGAGCTCGTTGGGCATCTGCCGCATGAGGCGCGCTTGGCACGCTTGGGCCCCTGGGGCATGTGGCGAACCTGGTGCGCGCGGCACACCCGGTACTCGTGCCGCACCTCGCGAGCATCGTGCACCTGGCGCCTGTATCGGTTCCAGATGGCTGTCTGGCCGATGGCGACCTCTGAGATGGTGAGATGGCGTTTGGGACTTAGCGAGACAGGTTCTGGATTTCCCATTGAGAACTTGACCCCTGCCCTTACCTCTACCCCTCCTCTGGGTCTGGACGGGAAGAGGTCCCGACCGATAGCAGCGTCGAAGATAGCACCAGATTGCCCAAAGGCTCCAGATTGACAAATGTGGTGTCCCATATCGCACAACAGATCCTCGATGGCTCAAGATAGCTTCCAACATGCTTCGAACAACTCCCGAGACCGTCCCAAGACTGCTCCAGGAGGCCACGGAACCTCCAAATGACGCCCCCGATGGAGAATGAATCAGTTGTGACTTCTTGCACTTTCGCTGCCGATTGTCCTCTGAACCGTCAGGATGCCTCCAAGATCGCCCAGAAAGCCCCAAGAGAGGCCGAGGAGTGCTCCAAGAAGACCCTGGTGTGCCTAAGAACGCCCCAAGAGGGTCCCGAAGGAGGATTGTAATTAATGGCCACTCCATTTCTCAAAAGTTAAATCACAGAACAACCACATAGTTTTTGAATCAGTTTGGCCTCTCGCGTGGCATCCTTGGGAGGCTTTGGGGCCCACATGACTCCAAGATGGCCCCAGACACCTCAAGATGTCCTACAGGATTGCGCAACATGGTAGCCAAGACGGATGAAGATAACCTCCAGCATGCCTCGAAGATGCTCCACGACGGCTCCAAGCGTCAGAGCCTCCCAAGGACGGGCCCCCACCGGGTGATGAACGTCATCCAAGATGGCTCCAGAGGGGCCCCCAAGAGAGCCCCACGAGACCCCCAAGAGGGCTCTGGAAACTCCCAAAACTAGAGGTTCCCAAGTTTAGCCCCAGAGGCTCCTAGATGCTCCGAGAGCGACAAAAGCGCGAATTCTTTTACAGCGACCCTCGTCGTCGTCGTCGTCGTCGCCATCGTCCTGCACCATCCTGATCTCCGTGGGCTGTCCTCCTCCTGCCTCCCCCTTCGAAAGATGACGGCTGCACCCATCGCTGTACCACTGAATACTCCCACGCTTCCTTGATCAGGTCAACTCGCCTGGGCATCGTTTCTGGATAGGCTGACGGGGATACGTGAGCAAAGCGTCAAGAATTTGACACGACGCGGTCATGACAGAAGATTGCGGTGGAACGTCATCCAGGCGGCAAAGAGTTACATGAAGCCTTCCTCAACAAGCAACAATAGAGGCATCCCAGATGGTGTCCGAGTAGATGGGTTCGGAGGACCGCGGCGCATCGTCGATGCATTGCCGACGCATCGGCCATGCATCGTCGACGTCGGCGATGCATTGGCGACGTCGGCGTTGATATGGCATCGAGCCGCATCGCCGATGCGACGCGATCCTCCAACCCCATCTGCTCTGACTCCATCTGGGATGCCGGAAAACAATGGTGCTCCCTGCCCTCCTTCACCTGTTGCGCACTCTGGCGTTCCAAATTTGGGGGAAACCAAAATGGTACCCATACCGCTACTCCCAGGACCCCTCCAGGGGTGCGTTCTGACCCCAATTTCGAGGCGAATCCAGCGGTGGCGACGAGGGCCTCCGAGGAGGCCCAAAAAGGGGACAACGAGGGAATGGTAGCGATATGGGTACCTCGTTTCCTTTTTTGAACTCTGGCGTTCCAGGCTTATGCATGGAGCCCTGGGACACACAAATAAGTAGACACGAATGACAGGATTCTCCATACATTCCCATATTATCTGGGTCTTCGTCTTCCCCCCCACTTCCCACATTTTCCCGCATCTCCTGGGGAATCAACGATTAACTGTGTCTGTGTGTGTTTTTTCCCTCCAGAGCTGCCCCCTTGCAGACGGCGTC